CCCACAATGATATGAGTTGATATGAATACATCTCATCACACAACTCATATCATTGTGGGATAATTCTACCGCCAGTCCTTCGTCACCTTACACAAAATAGGGTGAATACATCTCATTACACTGATTTACTGGTAGTCTCGAAACCCTACTTGCATACGAAATGAAAGGAGTTCAGTCAAATTCATCTACAATTTCCAGTCTTCCCTTTACAGTTTGAACACCACCAGCCTCATGAAGGCGGCGAAATCAACCCGTTATCAAGGACTGAATAGTTGAGATTGCAGAGATTCTGGCTCTTGGACTTGCAAATTCGCTGTCTGAAGAGCAGCAGCGTAGCCTGGCCTCTGCTGTACACATAAATTTGGATTGCAGTGGGATGTTGTATGCCCTATAGCCCGTTTTGTGGAAAATGGAGAAAGAACAGAGGCAAAATGGCGCTTTGCAAATGTAGAACTACATTAAAGCATCTGGAACGAAACTAGTTGCAATTTGCTGAAACGATCTTGCTTGCTAATTGCATATGTACATTGTTTAGGTGTGCATGCGTGTGTTCATGTGTGCATGTCGCATGGTAGGCGCGTGAGGAAGGGGCGGGCTTTGTCGTATTAGCCCAGAAAAATCTGTTCGGTAATCCATCAAAAGAGGGGAAAGTGAGTGTCCGAATGAAAAAGATAGAGAGAGAGAGAGAGAGAGAAAGAAGGAGGCAGAAAGAGAGAACGGGCGAAGTGGGCTGATGGGAAGAGAGGAGAAGGAGCAGAAGGAGGCGAGAAGACCGGCATGGCTGATCGTTTTCGTTTTCTAAGTAGCCTTTCGAGGCATCTTGCCCGGCTTTCGAGGCGATCAGAGAGACTGTCCGGTCCTATGAGAATAATGATGAATTGAGACGAGTCGAAAGATCAACAAGCAGACCAAGTTGATGGCCTCCCTCTCTTGATTCGCTATGGCCGACTGGCTGAGAAGTTGCTTTATATTCCTTTGCATTCATATGGGCGTGTGTATGAATGAGCATATTGGTGTGTGTCTATCTGTGTGTGTGTGTGTGTGTATGTATGTGTGCATGTTGGGACGTTGCGAATGGCCTGACCGGCCGAGCCGAGAAATTACCGATTCTATCAAATTATCACGCCTGCCTTTTGCCCAAGGCGATGCTAACTCGTCAGTGAACATTTCGGTTAGTAGCGAGTGCGAATTGATTGCGAATAAAAACCATTTTTCCCCATCATTCCAGTTGCTTATGATATCTCGACGAGATGAAGCAGCAGCATATACGTACCAAACATATGTTTATAGAATGAGGCTGGAGATGGGCTGGGTGAGGGGAGGAGGGCACGAGGACTGGACGAGTGTGGCACATGGAGGTGTCTCCGACCGACAGAGCGCGGTTGGAGGGGCGTTGACGACGTGAAGAGGGAGTGGGAAGCGCGAATAAGTGCACTGTGTGTATGTGTATGGGTAAGGGTGACATGTG